ACAAAACCCGCGGGCGGGCCAATTTGGCCCGCGGGCTAATGCGGGCGGGCCACGGGCTATGTATTTTCCAGCCCGCAGAAATGCGGGCCATTTTGGCCCGCCCCGTTTGGATCGCGGGCCAGCACGGGCCGGAGCGGGTCGGGCCGGACCAGCCCGTTTGACAGTGCTAGTCTAGACACACCTAACACACCTAACTATTTGCCCAATATTCCTAATTCATATCAACCGGGCTTTAATTATTGACGTTATTAAATGAAATACTTTTTGGTTTACAGTCTCGCAGTTTTGTTTGGAAGGACGGAGAGGACAGACTAAATAAATAATAAAAATTTGGCACGCCTTTCGGAATATATACACATAAATCACACACAGCAATATTTTACTGCTTCATTCATAATCGATTTGGGTCATATTTCTCCGCGGACTCATGAGTCTGTCAAAACTCATTAACTTACTGTTTTAGGTAAAAAAAAAAAAAAATATGTTGGTGGAAAGTTATGTAATTCTTTCAACTGCGTTTCGTATCAAAGTTTTGTAGTCTCTCTCATGTCACTTTCTTGGTGTGCTGTAATTTGGAATGATGGCAACAATTAGGAATTCCATGGTTTGCGGTTTTCTATTTGTGTTACCCTTTTTTTTATAATTTAATTTTTATTTTAAAATCAACACGAATCAGTACAGTTTTGGTGTTAGTTTACTTACTAGCTTTGTTACTTCAATCAATCAATGGTTAAAAGGATTTTTAAGTATCTGGAGATTTTTCCCCTTTTGGTTCATCACTGATTGCCCTCACTCACCTGTAGAAGAAAGGTCGTGCCTTTACATTTCCTGCAAAAGCCACTCTTTCTGGAAGAGTTAGATTTTGTGGTCAAGTCTTTTTTTTTTTTTTTTTTGGAAATTTGCGGGACTGTAAAAAAAAAGTTGGGTAAAATTTGTTGTGTGGGCTCTGTGGTGAAAACTGGCGATAGCAAAATAAGGGCTTTTGGGAAAAGCTGTAGGGATGAGTATGAACTTTGTAGGGCTGTCTTCTTCTTCTTCTTCTTATCTTTTGCTAAATTGCTACCTATTCTTGTTGTCTTTTTCACATCAAATTTGTTGATATTTTTTTTTTTTTTGGGGGTAATTTCACAGGGTTTAACCAAACACCTGTTTCACCTGTGTGCATCATTGATAGGGTCAGCATTTTCTCACAAGAAGAGGCCCACTCTTCAATTGTGAGACAAAAATCTCAATTAAAATTTTTGCTCATCTGTTTCTTAGGTGATATTTATTGCTGCTCGCTGGTACCTTTATGGGTTAACTATTTTTGCTCTAAAATAAATAGAATTCAGATCCCCAATTCTCAGGAACACCGGGTCGGACTTATTTCTGTTTTTTTTTTTTTTTTTAAATATTTTTACTGATAGGGGATTTTATCTGCTTCTGTATTTAGCAAGAAGAAGAGATGGCGGGCGATGAATCGAGTAGCTGTGTGTGGAGTAGGGAGCAGGACAAGCAATTCGAAAAGGCAATAGCTACTTATCCAGAGGGCTCGGCTGATAGATGGGAGAAAATTGCAGAGGATGTTCCTGGGAAATCGGTGGAGGAGATTAAGGAGCACTATGAGCTCCTGGTCGATGATGTCAGCCGGATAGAATCGGGTTTCGTGCAGGTCCCGTGTTACAACGCTTCCTCGGATGGGTCAACCGGTGATGAGGCGGCAACAGGCAGTTTCGGGCAGTCGAGCAAGCCCTCGAGGTCGGATCAAGAGCGGCGTAAGGGGATTGCGTGGACAGAGGATGAACACAGGTGAAAACAAAGGTTTCTTGATTCATTCATTTCATTATAATATTTAATCTCGGATTATGGCATAGTAATCTGGATTAGGGGGGGGCCATGTATCTATCTTATAAAACTATAATTAATTGGTTTTAGGCAGTTAATGTTGATTAATTAATTAATTAATTAAATGATTCCCATGATATCACTTTTCCATGTCAATTATTGTCTCTGTCTAAAGCCTCAAAAGTACTGAGCTTTGCTCTGCTAGTCCAGTTGGTAGATGCTTATTATTTTTCTCTTTTTTTTTTTGGTTAAAATTTACCTTATCAATTGACTTTTGACTGGGAGTTCATTATTGGAGGCTGTGTTTATAATTAGACTTGACATTTAGACTTGACATTGAGGTTTTTGTGTGAATGAAACTGTTAGAATAGTCGTTGAAGTTATTAAGCAATTTTGTTTTAGACGACAATCTCTATTGTGCTTTTCAACTGCATTTGAAAGTCTGTGGGCATATGTGCAGATTCGGTTATATGCCTATATTTTCATCTTATCCTTGCTTAGTTCAATGCCCCATACCTTTTCACCTGCAGTTTGCCACACTTGCCAGAATTTGGCTGCGTTTCTTGCACTTGATGGAGAGATTGATTTTTGCCTTCAAATTTTGAATTATTTGAGAAATTCGAGAACCGTGTAGATACTTGTGGAAGGGTGTTGTACATATTAGATAGGCATAGAATCTTGTAAAATAGATGGGGCTGGAGTTATGAAGAGTGATGTAGTCTAGAGAACACCTACGTTTTGAACTTCGTTGCACTTCCTAGACCACTCTATTATAGGAATTTTCTATACTAGGATATAACCAATTAGGAAAACCCGAGATAAGTCCTAGTACATTTCATTTGAGGGGAAGAGTTTTTAAATCTTTCTGAGTACATGACATCCACGAACAGGAAGCCCCTCGTTTTACAATCATTTTGCCAAACCATACCCAACAAGTTAAGCTCTATGGTATTTTGTGCATACATAGACAGGAAATCTTTCGTGTTATTAAATAGGCAAAAATAATCGATGAAATAAATATATTTGGTACCGACCTTTTCATATTTGGCATCAAAGTGTCAAATATTGACACTTGCAGTGGTGATATCGTTTTACACAAATAAACTTCACTATATTGATATTATTGGCTTAGGAGCCACATCTTGATTCATAAAATGTGCTCATATATGTATATATATAGGGGTGGCTCTAATAGGACTCTTCCTTAAAATGGGGATGTAAGGCCCAATTCTAGAATTGATTTGTGTAGATCAATGACTCATACTAATTAATTGGGATTTTTACTAATTAACATAAATTAATAATAATTATATTTAAATTAATTATATAATAAATAAATAAATACCGGCGGCCGTTGGCTGACGGAAAAAATTTCCCTAGAAACAGATCCGGGTTGGTGACCCGGAACCAGTCCACCATGATGCCGACTGCTGTGGTGTTGTCCACCAGATTGGTGCGACCGCCGTGGGCCGAGGGTTTTCCGTATCAGGACAGAGTAGTGGGGATGTAGGGTTTCGAGGAAGGAGGAAGTCAGGTTCTGGAGGCCGGAAAACATGTGGCGGCAGTTTGGGATGACGTTGTATTTCATACACAATGCATATTTAATTTACTCATATTGTATATAAGGTCAACAGTTAAATGGTCATTTAAATACTTAACAAATAAAAGATAATAAAAAATAAAAAATCTTAGTCACACATTTTGTTCCCTGTTTAATGACTGTTTAATGGCTAACATTGGGCATCACAAGCTAAAATGAATAAACTTTGATAATAGTAGTAGTTGTGACTCAAGTGTACCAACTGAAGGAAGTTGAAGGATTAATAAAGGTCATGTGATACCTTCGGGACCTATTTAGATTCTTGTGGAAGGGTCTTGTGTATAATAGACGATCTAGAGTTTTAGAGAAAGACCCTCATTCTTGAACATTCTAGAACTTCCGAGACCATTCGTATAGAGATTGAGGAGCTTTTAGGACCTTCCATTTGAGGTGGAAGGATTTCAAGATCTTTTGGGAAGTAGTTTTCCTTTAGTCGAGTATGGGAATGATTCTGACCTCCGGTTGTGTTTCCTCGCACTGTTCGAAATTAAATTCAAGCAATGATCATCACAAAGAAAGAAAATAAAATGTAAACACTCTAATCGCGAAGTTGGTTGGTGAGCTTAAACTAAATCAAGTGCATTCAAACTTAATTGAAAGCAAGGAAGTCAATGGAAGCGCAATAAAAGAAAAATAAAAAGAACACGAAGTACCCCAAGACTTGAAAATTGGTAGAGTAGGCACCAATAAGACTGACGAGTTATGACAAATAGACTGCATATTATTGATGATGCTTTATTTACTTCTATTATTAGTTTTAGCTTGTATGATAGAAGAACCGAAGAAAGGTAAGAACCAACAAGACTGATGAGTTGTGACTACTATATTATTGATGATGGTTTATCTATTGTGGCCACTTGGGTAATCAAGAATCAATAATTCTGCAGAAAACTAGAAATAAAACAAGATTGTAGTAACTTGAAATTCTGATGCCTCCTTTTATATATGTTTTTATTATTTCAAAACTAAAGCCGTAATATTTTGTATTTATTTGAAATGATTGTGAATTTTGAAAAGGTTGTTCCTTCTGGGGCTGGACAAATACGGGAAAGGGGATTGGCGAAGTATTTCGCGTAACTTTGTGGTGACACGAACACCAACCCAAGTGGCGAGCCATGCCCAGAAGTATTTCATTCGTCTCAACTCTATGAACAAGGATCGCAGGCGGTCGAGCATCCATGACATCACCAATGTGAGCAGTGGTGAGGTGTCGGTGGGCCAAGGGGGCCCCATTACGGGCCAGGGCAGTGGCACCAAGCCCAGCAAGCCTCCTGCCCCAGCCCCAGCCATTGGGCAGCCCATTGGGGTCTCCGCAGTTGGCACGCCCGTCAACCTCCCCCAGCCGATTGGGTATGGAGCAGTGGTCCCAGGCGCTCCCTTGACTATGGGTCCCATGACGTACCCTGTGCCGCACACCAGGTGAGGATTTCCAAACCGTACCGGGTTTTTTGTGCCCAATCGGATGTAATCCAACATTATTTTTGTGTCCAATTTGGAATAAGCTTAGGATAAAACTCTATCCGGTATGTATGTGTATAGGCGATATCGTGTTGTATTCTGAGTTCATACACATTTTTCTCCTTGTGCTAGTCAAGATAATTAGTAGCAGCTGGGCCTGGGCCTCGGGGGTTATCAAGTCCCGGTGTAAGACCTTTGTGGTGCATATTTGTAATGTACCTCTGTTCATTGGAAGCTCATTTTTAAAGCTATATGCTCCTCTTATTGATAATATTCCTTGCTATTATTTTTCTTATTTTTTAGTGCTAGCAAATATTTTCGGTAGATCTATTGACGGATAGACGAATGACCCTTTCTTTCTTTCTTTTTTTT